TGACAAAACGATCGTCTATATATCTACAGTAAAGTAATGGCCTGAGAACGATTACTGGTGCTTCCGCTTTAGACATAAAGGCAACGGCAAGGGCTGGTGCCAGTTGCTGTTCCATTGCCAACCCTCTAATCACGTAATATTTCCCGAACCGTTTCAAAATCGAGCAGTTTAAACAGACCTTTAGAAAGGCCATAAGCTACTGAATCGAAAAACCATACATGTTAACTGCTCCTTTGTGTTGCTCAAGAAGCTTGCGGATGGCCTGTATTGCGGAGTCGTTCGACACGTTCGTGTAAAGGGCGGTAACGTCGAACGATTCCATAACGTACGCGCTTTTTGGAAGTGCGTCGTGCAGACGGTCTAGAAACCTTTGGGTGTTAGTGATATGGGCTGGTATGTGCTTAAGCAACTGGTTGAGGATAAGATTTTTAAACCAAGTAATTCTATCCGTAGGCCCGTCTACACAACTGGTGATGGGTCTAACGTTAAAGTTGGAGGGGTCGGTAGACGCCAGATCATCAGCGGATATTAACTTACGGGTCTTGATAAGTAAGTATAAGACAGGACATGTCGGTACTTCGATCTTAAGATGCAAAGTGTCTGCTGGTTTTAAACCTGCTGCGCTTGCCATTTTGACCCATTCGTTGTTCAGTTTTCGATTTTGACTTTTGAATTCCTTTTCAGTACATGCGCGATAAAGAGATGCGTCTTCAAGACATTTTTCCGTTATATCGACATCTAACTGGAGAGGAATTACTACAAACTCTTCACCCTTATCACTAACTGATAGCCTAATAGTCTTTGACTTTATTAGCTCTTGAACCTGTCGCATACTAGATTTTGCGCAGCTGTAAGATTCGAACTAAACTTTTTCGCTATAGTGGCTAAGGACTTCGAGAGTTTCGCTCGAAAATATACGAAATTTTATATCGATTTCGTCGTTTGGGTCTTGCTGTTTAAAGAATAACCGAAGAAATAGAGGTGGTGGTAGTGCCCCTACTTCTCGTTGTTCCTTTTTATTTCGTGTCTCAATTCTAGCGTTGCTTCGGAGTAGATCTTGGTGCTCGTGCTGGCTGCACGCACGTTGCGCTGATGAGAAACTTGGACCCAATTCTAGTAGTAAGCGCGCGTCATCAGTCAGAGTTATGCCTCCTAACACGGTGACCCTTGACTTTTCAGGCACGTTATCGACCACATTTTTAGTGATAGCGCCTTCGTAAACGGTTTTGCTTCGTTTAATTGAAGCTGGTTTTTGCGAATGATCTCGTAAATTTTGAAATTTCTGCTTAAGGTTATTTAAGCATTTGATGTCTTTATGTTACTTTATGTCTAAAGCGGAAGCACCAGTAATCGTTCTCAGGCCATTACTTTACTGTAGATATATAGACGATCGTTTTGTCATCAACTCCACACAAGAGGAGATGGAGGAATGCTTCGAGTTATTCAACGAACAGTCAGAGTACATAAAATTCACCACTAACAAACCGAAAGAAAACTGGCTTCCATTTCTAAACGTTCAAATCAACCTATCCGAAAACGGCTACAACACAAAATGGTATCGAAAGCCAAGCAGTAAGAATGAAGTGGTCCATTACCTCTCCTCTCATCCCTCACACACCAAAAGGGCGCTAATAAGAAATATGTTTCGAACTGCTGCCAGCGTGTGCACACGTAGAGATCAGAGGGAGGAATACTCGAAACTGGTGCGCCTAATAGCCATTTCAAATGGTTACGAAACTCTAGCATCTCGGCATAACCATAGAGGAAAACCCACGCCCCAGAGCGATAGTTCTACCGAAAACAAGGCTCCGTTCCTCTCTCTTGCCCTTTATTTTAAACGAAAAAAGTGCAGCTATAAAACTTTGCTTAATAAGGGCCGGTCTAGAGAATTCCATAAGAGTGATAGAAATACCATCAGACACTCTACGACTCCATCTAGTTCGCAACCGCCTATATGACCGTCTATGTATAACGAAAAACTGCATAATTTGCCCAAACGGTAGAGACGGTGATTGCATGAGTTCGGGTACAGTCTATCTGATCTCTTGTAAAGCGTGCGGGCACGAATATGTTGGCGAAACGGGTAGACCGCTCTGCGTCCGCATAAAAGAACACCTAGTCGGTAAATCTAAATTAAAACAAAATACTCCAGTAGGCGCGCATAGGATGCAGGAACACAGCGGAGAACATTTCGAAGTAGGAGTCACTGTCCTCACGCACGAATTAAAAACGTCAGTGCGTAAAACTCTTGAAGCGCTTTGGATCAATTCCAGAAATTCAGAAATGAACCGCAAGAAGGAGTGTCTTTTCATCACGCGTGACCTGGCGCCATACCTCAGGCTAATCCAATGACCTGACACAGGCACTGTCCTCGCCCGTGTATTACTCTGCGCGGCTGCTATCCACTAACTAACCTAAATACTTACAACCAATAAATGGTAGGTGTTTAAATGAAGCTGCTTCTTATGCGAATACAAATTTATTTGTTAAGTTTTATCTGCTGGGGTTATGAAAGTGTTTGGCTGGGTAGATCGCATCTCAATTTGACCTTTACAGGCTCTGAAGAAGGCGAAACCGCGGAAACGTCAGCTATTCTATCCTAATAAACCCTATAATAACAATCTCGTGTTTGCTTATTGAAGTAAAACATTAAATTATCAATTAATGCCGACGTTAAAAGAGAGTCGGCCATGGGAATTTCATCTTTGTGTTTATGTTATTGAAGCGTTTGACGTAGTAAATCGTACGTGATTTGCCCTTATGGCATGGGCGGTGATTGCATTAGTTCAGGTACGATATACCTGACCTTTTGTAATACATGCAGAGATGAATACATCAGAGAAACAGGCATACCACTGTGTATATAAGGCCACGTATAGAAGAACACCGAGATAGCAAACGAAAAACAAGACAAAGCACCCCACTAGGGGCGCATAGGAAACAAAAACATAGCGGAGACGATTTTGGTATAAAAGTCGCTATCCTCGCACATGATGCCTAAACTCCATCGTGAAAACTTCGTGAGGGTTTCTAGATAAATACCAGGAACCCTAGAATGAATAGCAGGGAGGAATGTCCAGAGATCACACATGATCTCGCTCCATAGCTTCTCATCGACTTTTTATGTGGGATGGTGCATTCATCGAGCACATAGGACTCTGATCAGCTGTTCTTCTTGAGTGGAAAGCACGTAGTAAACGGTGAGTTTTCGAGGAGCTGCTGATCGCGTGATTGCGATTTAGATTTTCATCTTTCCTTAGTAGTTACCGAAGCGTTTGGCTTAGTAAATTGCGTATAAACACATCTTTCCAGGCTCTGAAGAAGGCGATAGTGCCGAAATGTCAGTTTTAGCGAAATTAAGAATAAAGTGGCAACTCGTGTTTACTCAACAAAAACATCGGAAACTGTTTGACCAATGCCGAGGTTAATAACAGAAGGTCAATCGTGGGGATTAGCAGCAACTTATTTCATATATTTCATGCCACGCCAACTCCTAAGGACGAAGAATGCCGTGTTTCTACCATGACGTTCGGATTTTTGTTTAACTGGCAAGTCTTCGCCGCTGACAAGGCGTAACGTATGTCGTTCTTGTAGCAAACCTAACTCTCATTTCCAGCCACGGTTTTTCCTCGGAAGTTAATATAGATAAGGTAAAGCATCAATGAATTACAATTGCTGCGTTGTACAGCTATTGCACAACTACTGGTGGTCGTTCAGCATTTAAAGAGTTCAACAAGACTTTATGACACGCTTGAAGTGGCCCACCGTGTTATGATGCTGGTCGATGATAAGGTAAAATGTGTCGGGTACCTTTGTCTAAGTCACGAGTATTCGAGTACCGTCCCAGCTTGAGTTTGACATAGAAAATTTCTTAATCAGAGGTAACAAATCGAGGAAACCTTATAGATATTGCTCAGTCTTTGGGAGCATCGTCCTTTTTTCTAGACGTCTCCATCAAGAATGCGATCTCAGTTTTTCATGTGAAAGAAAATTTTTTTGAACGACATGTGAGAATCCTCTATCTCACCAAATTTCGGATAAAGAAGCGTTTTTGTCGAAATCAAAAGATAAAAGTTTGCCGAACCCATGACATAGCAGTTAAATGGAAAACACACGGTAGTACATTCGTTAAGAAGGGTTATCCAAAGATTTAAGTATTGATTAACTTTTAGGACTACGATAGCGTAGTGGTTAATGATGCCGGCCGCCACGAAGCAAAGGCGTTAGTTCGGTCTCCGGTCCAACGCCCTCCTCCAATCCATGTATGAACGCCTTAAGCCGGCTGTCTACAAGATTGCAAGGAGATCGACTCGACCAGATTCTAAGACATTCCTATAGAAGACGAAATCCTTAAGCAGCACATGAAACAACAAGCGAAATGTTCGAACACCACTGTGGGCAATGAAGACGAGGAAAACGAGTCGAACGCACGAAGCTCTGGGATCTGCAGACTAGATGTGAGAGACGGGTCGTGTAAAAAAAGGCTATCTTTCTGCATAAATAAAAAATGCAGCAAGTGTTATTTTCTATTCTACTTGACCTCACATTTTCTGTGCCAAGACCAGCATTTCTTGCACATTGTTGTTTCCTCGTTTCCTCGCACCCAGTGTCCACGATGATCCTCGAACTTTCGCGTGTGGGTTCGGTTACCGCTTTAGGATTCTCGTCTTCTTTGTGAATTTCGGTGAATGCCAGTTCACGCAACTCTCTCTGAAGTAGCTCAAAAGATCAACCTTCTGTAAACCACGGCATAAATAATCGTTATATTTATTTATGTGTTCATATGAACTGATCTTGTTGAACTGATGCAAGGTTAGTATAACTGTCGTGGTTACTGGTCTTGTTGTTATTGTTGCCGTTATTATTATTATTATTATTGCTATTAGTCTTAACCCTTTTATTTACTGCCTTTTTCTTCTTAATGACAGGGTATGTTGCGAAATATAACTCGTATGAAATGCTGAAATATTTGCAAAACTCGCTGCTATTAGTGTTATTATTGGTCGATGGCTGACGTTTCAGCGGTTTAGTCTTCCTCAGAGCCTGGACGTAATTTATATAACAGTAGCCTTATGTTCATTGAAATATCTATAGTATTAATAAAGATCAAACTCATAAACAAACGTCATTTTGATCAAAAGGTCTACTCATCGTGCTGTCACAAGTGGGACTACCTGTGTGTTGTTCATGTGGTATAACGAACGGGAGCCATCCAGGTGAAGAAGTCATTTTGAAATAAAGCTCCAGATCACGTATGTTAGTGAGGTATTTGTCTTTCCGGTTCATCTTTGGATTTTTGAAATTTGTCCAAAACGCCTTAAGATCCTTGCGCGTTGATGTTTTGATTCGTCGCAAGGATCCGGACAGTCACATCAAAATCATTGCCATTGTGCTTTTGTGCCCAATGTGTACGTAGATGTGTGCTTTGACGAATTTTAATTTTCCTATCTAGATGTTCTTTCTTGCGGATACAAGGTGGTCTACCCGTTTCCCCAATATTCCTCACCGCAAGCGTTACATGAGATCAAGTATATTGTATCTGAACCCATGCAATCCCCGTCTCTTCCGTTTGGACAGACCACACAGTTTTCCGAGCTGCACAAATGACCACAGAGGCCGTTGCGAAATAACGGTGTAGGGTATTGGGTGTGAGGTCAATAATCGCCATATAATTTTCAAGACTACTTTTTCTTAAGCACCTCTTAATGGCGTAATTTATTTTGTTTGATATGAAGGGTAGCTTGAAAAGGATCTTTCTTAGGTTCAAAACACTGTTTTGGGAAAGAACCCTACGCGCTTGTCTGACCTGAGTGGCTTCTGCTTCGATATCGA